TTGTTGTGGATGTGGTCGAAGTGACTGGTATTATGGGTGCCGGCATGCATTCGCTAGTATCTTGTTTCGCTGTAAATAACAGCAATCTTGCAGTTGTGGAAATATTTGTACGGATGCTATGACCATGGATGCGCACGTAACATGAAGATGCTGCTAGCGAATAGAGGGGGGGGGTTGGGTAATGTTAGGGTCTTGGGTTTGGGGCGTGGGGTTCAAGGTTTAGGTGTCCAAGGGTCCAAATATTGGGGGCTTATACCACAAAACCATCCAGATTATTGTAGTTGGCACCTGAAGCCTCGTTTTTTTTTGGCAGTTGGACCCTCAGCAGGGTTGGCACACATGACTGTAGCGGAGTCAAATTCTACGTTTTTTTGGGTAACTGAACCTGCCGAGATGCTTTCACCTTCACCCGCACCTAGGAGTTACTGGGAGTAAGTAGGGAAACATACTATATAGGCATGGCATTGGATTGTATTCCCTTATTCCCTATTAAGCACCAGTAACATGATTCAGGCTTGATGTGTGGAAGTTCAGCTGAGCGGCTCTTCATGGCAGCAACAACCATTACCATAGCTGGACGGACGTTTCTGGTTATTAGCGAGGCATGAGTTTCTCCAGAAGCATTATGTGAGCTATAATCTAAACTCCTTAAGGGGGGTTATATAGGGGATTATGTAGGGGACTACTGTAGTGGTTATTAAGGGGGATACTTGGAGTTTCAATTATGGTTCATGTAGGCACTGAAGGGGGTTATCATGATCTGCTTGCAGCGACCATTTATCACTATGGGGTCCCTCGACGGGACCTTCTTACAAAAATCTGGCCCCAGGTGGATGCTGTGGATGCGGAAGGGAAACTGGGTAGGCCTTTGGTTTCCTTAAATATTTTCCCTTATTGCTTTTGTAGGGACCATCTATACTAATATGTTTTCATCAAAGGTCTCTAAAGGCCAATCAAGGAAACTGGTAGAGCTGAAAAGCTCCAAGAAGGCTACGAATGCCTCGGACTTCACCTCCAGCCACAATACCTTGCAGACCACCGTGAACGGCTCGGAGAACATCCTTGGCTGCTTCGTGCCTTGGGGATATAATGTAGACCCCTGATTAATACACCCCTTCCTTTTAAGGACCTTAAAATACCTTGAGATTAGGATCCCTATTCGAATCCCCATTACGGGGAGGGGTTTACTAATTAGGGGTCTAATATTACGTGAAACCTGCTGTTGGGGTTTGTTACTTTGTCGTTCATATGGTTCCCAAGGTGGATGACGCTGAAACCAGCTTGCTCAAAGTGATTCGTATCCCAACGGAGGAGATGAGGCGTGATCGCCAGGAGACTGCCTAAGCAATAAGCGCTGACCCTAAGGGTCCATGTGCCCAGCAATTGGGTACTTGGGGTTTTGGCACCATAGCAGGTTGTGGGGGAGTATATGAAGGTTGTCCGAAATCTCATGTCCTTGATTTGCGGATTTACGCAAACAAAAAGTAAACATAACAGAACTTGTCAAAAGTTAGGCGCGCAAGAGCCGCGCAAGCAACCACCTACACGAAAAATCATGTTAAGCCAATCTGTGCGCGCGCAAGCTTCGCGCCAGCGGGGCGCACGCCCCCAGTTCGAGATGAAGGAATATTGGACAACCCCCGAAATGATGATTGAGTACTGGGACTCTTCGGGTAAACCTCACAGACGTCAGTTCCTGACTCCCGCGCCCTTGCACATATGGAGATATTCTTGAATTTGGAATTAGATGGGCCCCTAAACCCTGACACATTTTCCCAAATAACGGGACTTCATGTCCCACATGCCATCACCTGAATAGATCTTGGTAGCAAATACCCTGATAGTCAAAATGGGTACCAGAACACATAAAACTTATATATATATATGCATAGACCAGTACGTACATATCCCTATAATCCCTTTGAAGCCCGAAATTTAGGTATTTGGGCCACAAGGCGGTGAAACTCCCATACCTAAACCCTAAACCCTAAACCATACTCAAGCTAGTAGGGTTTAGCGCTTGGTTTGTCTGATTGTCCCAAACAGGCTCACAACTACACCTTAAGGTAGTCCCTAACCTAGAAGTCTTCAAAAACCGGTTCGTTCAAGCCCCTTGACTCACGTGCCGAAGGAGGAATGACTTATGGTCCTAAACCCTAAACCCTAAATAGTACTTTTCATTTCATGTTCCATTATCCGTATATAGCCCCTATATAATCCCACCCGCTTTTCTTGTACTGATGATAATGATCCCCTCCCCGAGGACGAGCGTGATGATTCGGATCCTAGTTTAGACATCGGGTGATTTCCTAGTTTGTCCACAATCAAGTGTGCTGAGTGGGTAACCCAGGGGTCGCCCAAACATTAGATCCCCACATATCCCCACATAACGGCTCCGCTCTATGGATATCCGCGAGGCGGTCTTCAACAGTATAAGTAACGCAGATAGCTTTTTCGAATGACTTACGATAGTGCTGACATACGGACCTGCCACAAGGTAGTCCATGTCTGAAATGCAGGAGACTCTCATGCGGCTTGGACAACATGTTCACTTCATGTTGGGCAAATTCGTTGACTTCTTCCAGCGGTCTTCTGCCAGTGGCGTCTGGCAGATGAAATTCGATGATGCTAATGGCAAACTGCCACAGTTTTGCCCATCCGCGGGTGATGTACAGGTCCTACCCTTGGGTCTTGCTTAGCTTGTGGATCACACCTGAGTTTAGTGAGCCTAAACCCTAAACCCTAAACCCTTAGGGTTGTGGATCACACCTGAATTTTGGGAGCCATGGGCGGGGAGTTCTGTCCGAGGTAGCTGGTCTGTAACCGCTGGGTGAGGTGATGACGGAATGGAGTTTGGGTGATAGCGAGAACAGCTTACGCAACCAGGGTAGAGTCAGCATCAGAACAGGCTGTAGCCACAGGGTTCAGGGTTTAGGGCTTAGGGCTTTGTTGGTTCTTCAGGTCAACATTTTTCGAGTGGCAGTCTTCATAAACGGCTACATGATCTATGTTGAGAGTTCCAACAGACACTCGGATGTTCCTCGCTCTTGGTCCCTCGTGACGTTTTGGCACTGAACGGGCAGCAGCCAAAGCAATGCTGTGCGCGTTGCTCTCCAAACACGCTGACCTATGTTCCTTCCCTTGAGAAATCGGCCTTCTTCAGGGCTTATGGTCGGATTCCAAGTCCGGCTCCAGCAAATCTCGCTGAAGTAGCTGCTAACTAGACATTAGCGCAGCAGCTGGAGTTGCACATGTTTGTTGCTAATTTGGGTTGATGTGAGAAAGTCGGAGCAGGCTTAGACAGGGATTCACCTTTCCCCTTTTCAGCGCTGTTCTTTTTGGGTCGTAGGTACGCACAGGGCTTACCCTAAGATCTATAATAATACTTGCTACGCCCTGAATCTGAAACCCTTCGTCTTCTTTGGCCTAGGCTGGATGAAGCTTGTTAAGAAGAGCCAGCTTTTCTGATGTGTGTGTGTGTTCAACACTTTGGAAACCCCATTTTTCGGGCAAGTTATAGCAACCTCACCCAACCGCACCCAAAGTTGTTTTTGCAGCACATTGTCCCAGATTGGCTTAGCCTCGGTTCCCAAATTATTTGCAACAGCCAGCTACCGTGTTCTCCACATACCCCATATCCTATCTGCTTGAGAAGGATACTGACTACCAGCTGTGCGATATCTCTGTATATGTGTGTATTTTTCTAGGCATCAGCAGGTGAGGATACGAATGGGGTTCTAGGCTTATAGACTTTGATGCGCTGCCACATTGGGCTGCCGACAGTCTATCCCAGTGTCAGCAGCTCTTCACAACTAAGCTATGAAACAGTCTTTGTATGGTCTTCCGCTGCTTGGTTACTCTTATGAGCTTTGCTAGATACTAGGAACTTGCTTCCAGTTGGTACCTAAAGCAGAAGAGATCGTCAAACACCCACGTGCGGAGATCGTCAAACGCACACTTGCGAGAAACCCTATAATGGCAATAATAGTAAGAACTATAATAACCGTACGCACGGCAATAATTGTAACAATGAACTGTAATGATTGTGATAGCAATACAGATACCTGCATTAACGGTTAGTAACCTGGAGGGTCAAACAAAGTACCCAAACAATAGGGTTTAAGGTCCCACATGTTTTCATCCGAAAGGCTAGTGGCACTGACAGCCCGAATGTTTGGGTACGTGGAGCATCGTGGACCCTGGGAACAACCCTCTGTCTTTACGAAGCAAGTTGTTTGTCTTCAGTAGTTCAGCACTACGATTGCGTTTTTCATTGCAGCTCTTCCGTGCACAACATGTAGATGCAACATCTGATAGCTT